GACTCATCAAGTAGAAATGGGATTGGACGCGGAAATTAAGTCACCTACTCGATGAGTTGAGAGCCTCGACCCGACGAGTAGAGCTGTCAGGATGAAACCTTAATTTCGGGGTTTTGCACCCTATTTAAGCATCTTAATACCCACTTTATGGCCTAATTTCCAGCATCCAAGTCCCAAACCCTAATCCACAAAACCCTAGAGCCTTGTGTGAGCTTGTGAGCCATTTTTGAGTGATATTTGTGTGATTTGAAGCTTGTAGAAGAAGAAGAAGCTAGAGGATTCCATGAGAAGATTGTAGATCCAAAAGCAACATCTCATCCTCTTCATTTTCTGGTAAGCAAGTATCAACCTTGATTAGTATCTTGTTAGATCTCCTTCTTATCATCTCATGGAGTTTTTGGTCCAAGAACCCTAGTCCTTGGGATATGGACGTCCCAAGTGAACTACCTTTCAAATCTAGGGTCTAAAAGGGGTTTCATGGCATAAAGGTGCAAACTTTATGACCATGGAAGCCCCATGCAAGCTTTAAGGTGTTATGATGGCCTTTTATGTCCCAAAAGGCCATGCATGGAAGGAAAGTTAGGAGCTTTACATGTTCAAATGATGTATAAGGCCTAGATCTGTGTTAATATGCTTTAGTTTGGAGTATTATGGCTTTTGGACCAAGATCTATATCCTAGAGAACTAGGGTTTTAGCTAAACCCATTAAGAAGGACAAATAACGGGTAAAGTTGGAAACTTTACCCTTAAAAGGGCATTTCTAGTATGTAGATGGAGTAAGGAGTTTGGCTCTAAAGGATAAGAGATTAATCTGTTAAGATGGCTCAATTAGACTGGGGAACTCGGCGAGTTCAGAAAGGGACTCGATGAGTTGAGTCATTTTTTCTCAATTCAATTTAAGATAGAACTCGACGAGTCTGTGAAGAGACTCGACGAGTTGATTCGCCAAATCACGACTATAAATAGCCATGGAACTCGACGAGTCAGGGGGATGACTCGACGAGTTGGATCGCAATTTTAAGTTTTTGGATTTATAGACTTGACGAGTTGATAACACAACTCAGCGAGTTAAGTCAACTCAGAACATTAACTTTGACCAGAATGTTGACTTTGACCAGGGGTAAAATGGTTAGTTTACCCTTAGAAGGATTATCAGTTTTTGACTAAGTGATTATTGTGATGATGATAGTCGGGGAGTCGTTGGAGCAGACATCAGAGATTCCTCACTTGAGATTTCAGCAGTCAACTTTGCAAGGTGAGTTTTCATCTAGTAGGAATGGGTCGAAGGCACCAAGGTCGGCTCATTTATGTATGATAGTATGTTCCAGATTAAGGTCCAATGTCGGGCGGGGCCCGATGTAGGTTTATATGTTTTTTCATATTTCGATCCGATGTCGGGACGGTACTCGAAGAATGTTAGTATGCTTGGTGTCTTTGTGATTCTTGCATGTGTATGTATTTGTATGTTTCTGGACTACGATCTGATGCCAAGGCGGTTCCCAAGGAATGTTTGTATATTTCCAGATTTCTGCTCGATGTCGAGCGAGGTCCGAGGAATGTGTATATGTCTATAGTTAAGTGATTATGCTTATGTTATGTGTATTAATAGTTATGCTCATATGTATGCCGAGTTTTGTTCGATGTCGGGCGGGGCCTGATGCCAGATGCGGTCTAATGTCGGGCGTAGCCCAATGCTGAACAAGCCGATGTCGGGCGTGGCCCAATGTATGTTATATGTGATTATGTGATTATGTGTATGGTATGTGGTAATTCGGGGAGACTCGCTAAGATTCGTGCTTACAGTTTTCATTTTTGGTTTCAAGTGCTTCCGCTAGTAAGGGGAAGAGCTCGGGATGACTACATGGCACACACCACAACTTTTAGCCTGAGAGGATTCACTCTGATATTCTAGATTTGTGATACAGTGTTTTGACAAGATATTTTGAGATATTACACTTATGTTTTTCGAGATGATTGGATTACTATGTTTTTGTTATAAATAAAAAATGAAATTTTTGGACTATATTTTTGGGTTGTTTCAGATAGGGCTGTAAACGAACTGAACGTTCGGCGAACCGTTCGTGAACTGTTCGGCGGGAAGTTCGTTTATGTTCGTTTATTTGATAAATGAACGAACATGAACAAAAATTATCATTCGTTTAGTTAAATGAACGAACATGAACAATAGTCTCGTTCGTTCATTTATGTTCGTGAACGTTCGTTTACGATGTTCATTTACGTTCGTTTATGTTCGTTCATTTAAGTTTATTTATATTCATCTATATTAAATTATTTTTTATTATATTGCTATATTATATGTTCGTTTATGTTCATATATGTTTAATTGTGTTTTTTTATCTTTGTTCGTTTATGTTTGTTCGTTTATGTTCGTTTAGCATGTTCACGAACATAAATGAACGAACATGAACAAAGTAATTTGTTAAACGAACGAACATGAACAAGAAAATCTCGTTCGTTTATCCGTTCGTGTTCGTTTGTTGTTCGGCTAACTTAAACGAACGAACATGAACAAGACCTTGTTCGTGTTCGTTTGGTTCGTTTACAGCCCTAGTTTCAGATGTCAAGATGAGAGCTTTTTACCTTCAATAGATTGCAAAAGATGAGAAACTTTTGGATCTACAAGCCCCATTCCAACTGATGATCCTTCAACAACCTTCAATCTCTTCAAATGGTACAAAACACTCCAAGATTCCTCACAAAAGCTTAAAAACTCCAAGATGGTGGCTAAGGGTCGAATATTAGGGTTTAGGAGGCTTAGAGGTTGATAAGGAACAAGGCTCAAGAATAAATGAGGATTAAATAGGGTCAAGACCCTAAAAATTAGGGATTCCATTTGAAGGGAGTACGCCCCGCGTACCCCTTAGTACGCCTGGCGTACTCGAGAGACCTCCACAATCCACCCAGCCACTACGCCCCGCGTAGTCGACCAAGCTCCAAAGAACATAAACTTCTATCGACCATAACTCCATCCTAACTTCGTTTCCAACGAACTTTATATCCATGGAAAGGTGACGAGAAGCCCTACACTTCTATCAACTCGCCCTCGCCTTAAGAATTCCCGAACAAAAACCCAAAATTCATAAATGCCCGGACTGCCAAATTACAATTATACCATTGGGCTCTGAAACATAAACGAACACTCGGATTACTTAATCTATAACACCCACATCCGAAAAGGGCCAATTCCCTTCTTCCCCAAGGCCCTAAGCCTTATGATAACCGATAATCGGGCCACAGACCAGAATAATGAAACGATTCGAAACCAAGTGTTACAACTACCTTCCAGATAATCTCCGTCTGAGTCTTCTTTATTAATTCCAGTTTGAGCATCATTTTCAGTTTGAGCATCATCTACTGCCTCGTCAACGTCTTCTTAGCATAGAGTATTGAGAAATTCGTCTTTGCATTGGGAAACTTGTTTCTTTTTGAAGTACGCATCCAGCTCCACATCTATTGTATCAAAATCATGGATGTCCTCCATGATTTCAACAGCACGGGGGTAAAAACCCTAATTTACTGAGGTGGAGGGAGAATGTGAAACGAGAGAGGTAAATGAGGGTCTAAATGAGATCGATTGAACGCACGAAGCAACTCCTTGCCGCATAAGCAATTTCAACCGGCTAAATGAGGGTCGCCGGTAAAAGAGGATCCAATTGTTCAAGTTTCCGGTTTCTTGGGTTTTTTTGTTCAAAAAAAATGTTAGGATAAAAGTGTAACTTTTCCCAAAAGTTTGAGATTTTTTTGAAGATTTCCCTAGTTTTTATTTATAGATTTTTTTGGCAAAAGTAGTTATAAGTTTTTTGATATATATATATATATATATATATATATATATATATATATATATATATATATATATATATATATATATATATCTAAATAAAAGATACGTTATTTTTTAACAATAATTGGGTAATTTTTATAATAGCACGTAAGCATTTCTTTAAACACTACTTAAAATAACTTTTGAATCAAAAACATTTTGTTCTAAAATAAATAAATAAAAACTTTAAACACATACTCCTAAGGAAGCTATTTCTTTAATACGAGCCTTTAAAATAATAAATAAATTTTAAAAAAATAAAGAAAAAACTCATACCCTTTGAAAGCTCTTAAAAATTAATTCTCAAACACAACTAAAGTCATCATGTCTTCAAAATTAAAAAGCTAGGTCCAAGATAGCAGTCGTCCATATATATTTTTAAAATATTTGCATTTTCTTCTCCCCCTATAAGCTAAAGCCAAGCAGTAAACGAAATAATAATAAACGTTTGTTGTAGAGCATCACTTTTGCTCTTGTTCAAAGATCAATGATAATAAAGGATTAAACATTGATGTTTTAAGAAATAAAGTTTGAGTTGTTCATTCATAAAAGCTAGTAATCACCTCTATAGTACTTTAAGATATGCTTTTCTTGTATTTTAAGACGTCTTTTGTGTTTTAGGACATCAAATTGAATTGCCCCTTTTATGACATGTGATTTTCAATGTAAAGTCAAGTCAATATATGGTCTCATTCTTGAAAAATAACATATGTATACAAAAAAAATAGACCCCACACATAGCACAATCCACTTTAGGATAACATATTAATAACAAATTCCATTGTTTAACCATAAATAGCTTGTTTTTTCTTTCAAGAGAAGTTGCTCAAAACACAACCATTTTTACTAAAAGAAAATCATTATTAAATAATTTATGCATGTTTCACACAAATTATATTAATTGCAACACCATGATTAACTTATGACTAGATGTTTTTGTATTTTGGCAATGAAAAAAACCAATAAAAAATATAAAAATAAAGAGGATAATAATAGATAAAGCAATATAAGTAGCAAAGCAAAATGTATTTCCCCAACCTCTCTTTTCTTTAATATCTTTTTGTTCCCCATCTTACCCCTCTCCTAACCTATCTTACATTTTTTCATCATCATGTAATAATGTAAATAGTTCTATATTACAAAATCAAAAATTGTGGTGAAATTGTAACAACACACCACACCATAAAACAAGTTTTTCTTTTACACTCTCTCTTTCTCTCTCTCTCTCTCTCTCGCTCATGTTAGCATAGCATCAAAGTGCATTTTAGCATTTTTAGCAAATATCAATAAACATTGCAGAAAAGCCACCAATGCATCATCATCATCATCATAATCTTCTTCTTTCCATTTTCGTTTATATATCTCATGAACTCAACCTCCTCACGGAAAAACTTTCCATTTCTTTTCTTCAATTCCGATTCCGATGACACCCGCGAATGGAATTAGAAAGAATGTGACTGACTGACTGACTGACTCCGGAATCATGAATTCCCACATCGATTGTAATTGTTTGTTTTTCTTTTTGTGTTCTCATTGAAAATGAATTAGTAGGGAATAACATACGGCAAAGCACAAACATCAACAGATTCTATGTGCTTGGCTTCAGACCATACCTGCACATCCGCCATTGTTGCCGCCTCACGTGGCGGCAGTGGTGGTGCCGCCGTGCTAAACAGCCATTCTTGGTCGTCAACACCACACCACTCATCCGGTTTCGGAACCGTGAGTATTTGGTTTAAGTATTTTGTATCGGGGTGTGGCGGTTTGACTGTTTCCGCCTTCTTTTTGGGCGGTGGAGGTGGTGGTGCCGCCGCTGCCACCGCCTTGACGGCAGCTGGCGGTGGTTTAGGGCGGGAGACAGGTTTTACAGGAACTGGAATTGGAATTGGAGGAGGTGGTGGTGGCGGCTTGGTGGCGGTGAGTGGCGGTGAGTGGGCGGTGACATGGTTTGTATTTGTAATTACAGGTGGTGGAGGCGATTTTATGGGGGAGGGTTTGTGGTGGAGATGATTGAAGGCAGGAATTGGTGGTTTTTTGGCGGGAAGAGAGGCTGAGAGTGGTGGGGAAGGTGGTGGTATGATGCCGTTGACTTTTTGACTTTTTCCACCACCCATTTTGAAATTATTTTGAGATGATGACCTTTCTCTTTCCCTTTGGTTATCTAAGAAACTTGAGCTTGGGTTTTGGTTTTGGGGCCTTCCGTTTTCCGGGGAGATATTGGAAATGGGCCGGGCCATCTTATTGGGCCTGGGCTCGTTTTCTGTAATAATAGTAATTTAACTAAATAATAAGCAAAAAATGAGCAAAACTTTGAGCAAAAGAAAGAAAGAAAGAAAACTCACCATGAGAAACACCATTTGTCTCCATTTCTTTCCTTTTCTTCAAGATCCCTTCATGAAAACTATTTTCAAGAATATGTGAAGACAAATTATTAAGAGTAGCCATTGGTGAATCACTCTTCTTCATATGTTTATTCTTCTCCCTCTCTCTTTCATTTTTTTCTTTTGATTTCTCTTTTTTCTCCTTTTCATTATCTTTTTCCTTTCCTGCCCTTTGTTTATCCCTATCTTTGTGCTTCCTTTTATCTCCCCTTCTATCATCACTTTCTTGCACTTTCTCTTTCTGATCAAATCTCCTCTCAATCTTGTTGTCCAAAGGTGGTTGAGGTGGTGGTGGTTGTGGTGGTTGTGATGGTGGTGGTGGTGGTGTAGCAGTAGCACCATTGATCTTACTTCTTGCAATTGCATTTTGCATCTCAAGTTTGTTGTTATAACTACTTTTTCTACCTTCATTAAAAAACTGGTGGCTACCACTTCCCTTTTCCTCATCTCTAATCCTTCTATCCAATTCCTGCACAAATTTTAAATTCTCTGTATCCCTGTTTCGTGCCAAATCCCCATTTTGCCCCTGGAATTGTGTCGATTGTTGTTTCTTGTCATCTGAGGAATTGGTTCTATCTTTATTGGATTCACCATTTCGAAATTGAAGAGAGTGTTTCTTTTCTTGAATTTGTTGAATTTGTTCATTGTGCTTTTCCCCATTATACCCCTCATCTTGGGTACTGGTTTTACCCTTCTCTTTGTCCTTCTTTTTGTCTCGGTGTTTATCTTTCTTGTCTTTTTTCTCTTTATGTTTACTTTCGCTTCTGTCTTTTTCCCTTTTTTCTTTCCCTTCTTTTTTCTCTTTGTCTTTCTTGTCCTTTTTATGCTTCTTCTCTTTGCGTTTTTCCTGAAAAACACAAGTTCTGAAAAAGTCAAAGAACTGACTTTGACCTTAAATGGAAACAAGAAACAACACAAAAAGTAATTGAATATATCGAGCACCATGTAACGAAAATATTCTCCATTTATTAACCAAAAAACCAAAAGGGTATTGAACTATTGATCACTAAGGGCAATTCATTCATATATAGTCCTTTAAAGAAATTTTATATCTTATTTATTGTGTATTATCGTAACTTCTCGACATTCAAAATAATCTTTTTTAATAAAACAACACGCGTCATCTTTTTATAAAAGCATTAATTAAGCCATCATAATGTATATACCTATTTGAAGAGAAAACACCTAAATTTTGACACAAGTAAAGATGATAATCCATTATTACACTAAAAAGAATAAAAGAAAAAATCCAGTTAACTTCATGTGTTTTTCAAGAAGCTTCATCATTACTTCAAATGAGTTAACTTCATGGAAAAGTTAAAGCTTAACAACATTTGGAAGCATAAACTACAACACAACAAAATTTTGAAAATTAACATGTTCTACAAGTGGTGACATCATCATCATCAAAGTCTAAAACATGTGACAAGAAAAAAGTTATGGAGTTTAATAGTAAAAGATAGCCAAAAAATTGCATACACATTTAAAACACAAGCGAATATTTGTCTTTATATGAACTGTAAATTTAAAAATGTCGCAAACGCAAGTAAAGTTATGCAATTTCCATATGTAAACACCATGATAACACGAATGATAGATACCCTGTTACCCTACTACTTACATCTAGGGCAAAATATTACTTCTAGGTTATATTATATATATGTTCTATAATCATTAGTCAAGATATCTATAATAAAAGCCTCTGCGTAAAAAATCTACAAATGGAAAAGGTGAATTAACAGACAAACACATGTTGCAACATGCTTAAAGGCACCAAGTGAAACAATCTTTGATAAGAATGTAAGAAATTTCGGAGAGATTTGAAGATTATATAGGTCAACTTACCTTCTTCAGCAAGTCAAGATCATCTGTTGTAGGTTTCTTTTCATATCCAGGTGGTGGAAATGGAAAGCACCGAGACATTGCACGAATTACACAAATGATAAGTATTAGAGATAATGGTGAAGAAAAGCTTTTTTTCAAATACTTTCAAGAACAGCAGTCCCAAAGTGGAAAGGAACCAGCAACTATTATCCTCTCCATTAACCATGTCCTTGCACTCATTTCCAGATTCAATGTTCTTCTTCCATGAAACCCGCAGTTTCAAACTGCAAAACCACCCAGAACCAAACTTAAGTTATACCTTCAATAGTGATTGTAATCCAAATCAAAAGCTCCTTACTAGTTACTACACCTAGAAAATCTAACAGGAGGGAAATGCTTAAGTTGTAAAGCCAAACATGAAAGGCACAAAAAATACAGAAGGTGCAGAATTTGTGTAAACTATGGAAACCCGAGTGGTTGTTTCTGAAGGAAAAACAAAGCAATTCTTCTGCCTTGATGGTTTTGTAGATACGAAAGCATCAGTGCTACTTCCCCATGGTGAATCCAGCTCTGATCACTGCCTATGCGATACTAGGTGTGCCCTTGATAAGAAGATCAGAGATTTCTCAAAATCATGACTACCGATGTAGAAATGCACTCAAATGGAGGAAGGTCCTAACAGACCAAGTTAGAGTCCCCAATCACAAATCTCGATCGAAACCCTAATTCTCCAAAAACTCAATGTATCTCGCGAGTAATCGATCCGACCAAAAAACTAGAAAAAAAAAAACCTCGGGAATTACACAATACCCTAAATCTTAATTCACTAAGAATCCAAATAAAGCTCCCATAGCAAAGTTTGAAATTTTCAATCGAATAAAGTGAAAATCACAACACGAAAAAATCCCCCGGAACTATCCCCTTTCTAAAGGCGCTTTATAGCACGAATCAAACAAAAAATTGTGATTTTTCAGACATCAAGAGAGAGAGAAAGAGAGAGACAGAGACGAAGTGATGATCGATTTAATTACAATTGAATCTTCCAATACATATGATTAAATTTACCTTGTCCGCTACAAAGTGGACATTGTATATTGAATGAAGTAGAGACAATCGCATACAGAAAAACACTTTCTCTCTCTAAAATCTCAATCCCTTGTGTCAATCTGTGTCTGAAGTGTGTGAGTTTATGTGGTTTTTGTAATGGATTTCTTGAAAAGAACCTCAGGGAGTACGATTTTTGTTCGGAATTCAGACGCGAAAGAGGCAAAGATGAGGGCCGAAACCCACATATATAGAGAAGGTTTTTTAGAGAGAGAAAGGGGATGATTTCTTCTCTCACGCTCACAATCTGCCGTTTATGGGACTCTCCCAATCTTTATACCCCCACAAGCACACTAGAAAAGGGTCTCCAATTCATGGGGTTAATTGCAATTTGTAAACCCTAAATTTGTCTAAGTTATTTCTTTATTTTTGCTCTAAAATATACTAATAATTCTTATATATGTTGTTCTATCAAATTGATTATAATTTAAAATTTTAAAGTTTTTATGACTAAAATAACTAAATTAAAAAAATAAGTACAGACATAAAATAAAATTAAAAAAAAAAAAAAAAAAAGAAATTTGACTTTTAAAACAAATGTGAATTATCTTGTTTGGTAATATTTAATTATTTTCATTTTGACTATTCTTCTTAAATTTGTTGTAATAATTTTGAGGACACATATCCAAACATCCATGTATTTTTTCCAATGTTTTAAAAAAATTGATAGTTTAGTTGAATCGGTCCCCAGTTATTGACCCTGACCCCGGTTTCTAAAACTTATATATATATATATATCGGGGCGAAACTTGAAAAATTAATTTGAGACCTGAAAGTATAATTTTGTTTCAGCAAATAAACATCAAAAATACCAAGAAGAAGAATTACAAACGTCTAATCATTGTTTTCAATAATTTATCTTTCTAGTTAAACAACACGCAAGAAAATCATCTAAGCTTCCATTTTTTTAATTCTTTTATTTTTATTAGAATAATAACATTTTTGTCAACTCAAAAACATTATCAATTTGTTAATTGGAAATGCAAGAAAATATGAGAGTATTTGGTCAAAAAAACGAATAATAATACCAGTCAATATGAAGCTAAGAGTATGCTCTAACCCTTTTTTTCTTCTTTTGAAACCTTCATTCCTAAATCATACTTGCTTTCTTTTTCTGCCCATCTCCTCTTACTCGCGGTCACACTTTCTTTTCTATTCTCTATTCTTTCTTTTCTTTTCTTTTTCTAGCTATAATTTCCTCTTTATTCTCTATTCTTTCATTTCTTTTCACTTTCTAGTTGCTCATACTACACAGGTGGTTTTAAAGTTTTTGCATACAGGTTTAAAAGATTGCATCTTGCTTGATTTGTATACAAGTTGTGGGTTTAGTGTTTCAAGTTGTTGGGTTTATTTTTTGGTGTAGAGTAAAGCGGTACAAATCTGAAGGTTTTGAGATTAAGATTTTCATGCAAATGTGTTAACTGAACCAACAATTTAACTAACAATGTGTGTCCAAGAACAAGTAAATCAGTTATTTAAAGCAAGTAATTGAGTATAGCAAGAATAATTATATATTCATTATCAAGAATTGAAGATACAAATTAGTTAAACTTAATCAGATGGGCTGAGGGAATGGAGATGATGGTCTGATGGAGAAGAGAGAAAAGAGAAATTAAGAGAACACTGGAGATACATGATCGATTCCAGTGCAAAGGTAAGAGGTGGAGCTACCAGCAGAGATTGAAGATAGTCGATTGGGAGATGCCGAGGTGGATAGGTGGTCCAGCAAACAATGAAAGATGGAGCGCCTGAGCGAGGGTTGGAAGTGTTGATGACTTTGGTTCAGAGAGCACGGGGTAGTCCAAATATTTTTTTGGGCTTAATTTGGGTAAAATTTACTGGGCTATAACTAGTCCTAAGAAAAAAATTCAATTTAGGGGGGGGGGGGGGGGGGGCTCTTGGCCCTAATGATCCTCCGCCTCAATATTTAGAGATAGATAAATAACTAGATAAATAAATAGATACATAGAGAGTGAGAGAGAGAGAGAGAGTCGGGTTTTTTTAGAACCAAAAGATTTGTGAGCACTTGCGAACTCATAATTAGCTCGTCGTTTTTCAACATCAAAAACATCAATCTTCTCCAAATGGTACTTCAGCCATAGCTATGCTAAAAAAAGATTTGACAATTTATTTTTGTTTTTTTGTATGATTGCTGATGAGTACAATCAGCAGTCATTAGCAGTCCATATGGCTGTTGATTGTGTACATTCGCAGTCCATATGACAGCTTATTGTGCTCATCAGCAGATCATATGACCGTTGATTGTGTATACATGCAAATTTCGAAAAATAAATGTCAAATCTTTTTTTGAGCCTAAATATGACTTAGACGCACATTTAGAGAAGATTGTTGTTTTTGTGTTGAAAAATGATGAACTAATTATGAATTCGCAAGTTCACACGAATTTTTTAGTTATCACAATATATATATAATATATATATATATATATATATATATATATATATATATACACACACACACACACATAACAATGAATTTCACATCCACAAGTTCAAATATTAAAAATACATATAACAAACTGTAGATCAATCTAAATACATAAAAAAAGCCCATAATCATAAATTTTACATCGGATCAGGCTCAATTTGTTTTGAAAATGAGTTGTTTTAAGGGCTAAGTAAAATTCAATTATCCAAGTCCAATAAACCGGTTCAAACGGGTTTTTACCGATTCTATCACATCGGTTTAACCTGGTTTTTGAAGAAATTGTCCAGTTCGATCCGATTTAGAAATTGGAATATAACCTATGATAATTGAGCCGCTCATTGCACATGTCCATTTCGAACTGTCATCCAAACATTGATTTTTACATTATAAATGGACAATCGTTTTTGTAACGACAAAGAAAGAAAATTAACTTTTAAAGCAGATATAAATTATGTTGTTTAGTCGTTACTAATATTTAATTATTAACCTTGTTCTTAAATTTGTTGTAGTAATTATGAGAACATCGTATCCAAACACCATGTACGGTTACATTTATAAATGGACGATCGTTCTTTCAACGATACAAATAGTGTGGTTTGATAGAAAAATTGTAACATGCGATATGTTTTTTAAATAATTATACTTGTTAAAATATAAAAGGGGCTATGTAGCTATGATGACTAAAGTGATTGTTCTAACATGTGTGTGAATGTTTGTTCTTCGTTTTATCATTTCATTTTGCATTTAAATCACAAGAAAATTGAATTCAATTTACAAAATGTTTTCACTTTTTTGTACGCGGAGATAAAAGAAGAGAAATTAAATATCCTCATGTAATTTTTTTCTATCATCTTTCTACCCATATCAAATGATGACATGTGTCATGTTTAATTTTCCTTAATAATATTAGTTGTGAGACATATGTGTTATATGGATTAACTTAAAATAAAGTTAAATATAAATGTCAAAATATTTGAGAGCTTTAAATTTATAATAAAATAAGAAAAATAATGAAAATATTTTTTATCCTTTAAATTTAAATAAATAAACAAAAGAAGTTACTGAGCTTTAATTCTTGAAATTTTAAAATTAAAAGGTAAGTTTATTAATAAAATTATATTCATTTATTACTATATATTGTAATTATTACATTAAAATATTATGTAGAATTTAATAAAAAAGAAAAACTTATAAAATGACATTTGGAAAAAATTAATCCAAAATAACCATAAAATGACATTTCGCAAATTGAATAAGAGTGTAACAAGTGGAAAAAACATTCATTTATTATAGTAGACTTTCATCCACTTGTCATCATTTAATATTGGTAGGAGAATAAATAGGGGAAAATTATAGAAGAATATTTAACTAATTATGAGACTCATGTATTACATTGATTTATTTTAAAAAAAAAACAAAAAACAAAAACAAAAACAAACAAACAAACATGAATATCTAACAATTTAGAAATTTTGAATTTATAAGAATATATATATATATATATATATATATATATATATATAATTTTAGAATTAAAGTGTTTATTTATCTTATAAATTTAAACAAATAATTTAAATACATAAACAATTAAAATAATTGGATTCAACTTAGAAATTTAGAAAGTATAAGGAATGTTGCATTAATGAATTGGATATGCATTTATTATTACATTTATTATATTTAGATATTTTATGAAATTTAATAAATAAATAAATAAACTTGAAATAACACATCTATTATAATAATTTTTTATTACATTTATTATATTTAGATATTATATGAAATTTAATAAATAAATAAAAATTAAAAAAAATTAAAAAAAATTAAAAAAAAATTTTAAAACTTGAAATAACACATCTATTATAATAATTTTTTTGTGATTACTTTCACTTAAATTTTTTTCACATGGCATCTTTGTGGGTTTTTTTTTTAATTTTATCATATTCCACATAATATTTAAATGTAATAATAAATGCATATCAGTTTCATTAATTGATTTTCCTTTTAATTTTAGATTTTTCTAACTACAAACCTTATTAATTTCATTTGTTTATTTATCTAAATTATTTGTTTAAATTAAAAAAAAACACGATAATTTTAATAATTCAATATTTTTCTTTCAAACTTTTAAATGTTTAGAATTTCATATTTAATTTTTCTTTTAAATGAGCCCATATAATACATGGGTTTTACCTCTAGTGGATAAAATTTTATATAAATTTACCACAAAATGACACGTGACATAATGCATAAGAGGATGATAAGTGGCAAAATTAATTTTTATTTATTATAGTAGATTTTCATCCACTTGTCATCATTTAATATTGGTAGGAGGATATTTAACTAATTGTGAGACTCATGTATTACACGAGTTTATTAAAAAAATAATAAAAAAAAAAAACAAACAATCAAACAAACATGAAAATCTAACAATTTAGAAATTTTGAAGTTATAAGAAAATAAAAAGAAAAATATTTAATTATTAAAATTAAAGTGTTTATTTATCTTATAAATTTAAACTAATGATTTAAATACATAAACAATTAAAATAATTGGATTCAATTTAGAAATTATAAGGAAAGTTGCATTAATGAATTGGATATGCATTTATTATTACATTTATTATTTTTAAATATTATATGAAATTTAATAAAATGAAAAAAACCATCAAAATGATACATCTACTCTAATAAATGAAAATCTTTTTGACACATATCACATTCTCATTGATTTGACCACATGTTATTTTGTGGTTATTTATGTATTACATGTCTTAACTTAAAAAAAAAGTTAAATATAAATGTCAAAATATTTGACAACTTTAAATTTGTAATAAAATAAAAAAAATAATGAGTT